AAAAGGGATTGAATTTAGTCCAATAAATAATTCCTCATCAAAATATTTCAATAATTCAGTTAGGTTAGGAGTGGTAGGTCTTTCGCCCCCAATAGTTCTGTCCATTATTTCTCTAAAAAAGACAGTTTTTAAAAATTCTTTAGGCAATTCATTATCAGTAATGTAAATTCCATATTTTTCTTGTAAAAGTAAAATGCAATTTTGGGATTGTTCGCTACTAAACTCAACTCTTCCGCTTTTTAAAGAAGTGATAAAACTGCTTAATTGATTTTGGTTATTTTCTAATTTGGTTCTAATTCCTTTCGAACAATTTTCATCATAATCCGGTAGTCTTAAGTGGATCAAATTGCCCCAAAGAACTTGTAAAGCAGATGCCTTTTTTTTTAATTTATCTAAATTGTCTCCGGTTTGACTTTTTTTTAAGTTTTCTCACCTATTAACAATTTCTCCTCCCACTAAATCATATTCCTTTTTTTTAAATTCATCTTCTCTAATTTCTTCATCTCATCTAAGTCTTCATCTAAATTCTTCGGAAGTAATCGCATCTACCCTTTTTTTTAATTCTTTAAATTTAGGTTTGATATATTTATCAATAAAAGCAAAATATTTATCAATTTCAATAGTATAATTTTCAATTTCTGCTTTTAGATCATTTATTACTTGTTCTTTGGTTTGTTCTCCTTCCTTTTCCTTTTCTTGTTGCAATTTTAGCAATCTCTCTTTTTCGGTTTCTAATTCTAAATTATCAAAAATAGGAAAAGGATCAGTGAGAGTTAATTTAGGAACTAATTCTTCAATTTGACTTTCTAATAAAAACTGAATGTCGGCAGGGGTTAACAATCGACCAAATTCACTTTCATCTCATTTTTCCACTTCCTTTCATCATAATCAATCAATTTCACTCCGATCAGTAATGGATTTTTGAATGTTATATCGCAATCTATTTAGCATTTCATCAGTTATTAAGCAACCATCCAATATTCCTTCTTCAATTTCTTCCTTTTGATCAACTTTTTTAAGTAAGTAAACTAATCAAAAAAGCACATATAGTCCACTATTTTTGGGATCGATTGGTCTATCTTTGCTCTTGAATAGCGAAATCTGCCTCATATCAAAATCATCTCGCCGAGGATGAGGATTTTTAACTATTGATTTGCTAAAAATATGAGTGATGGTTTTGAACTCATTTTTAAAAATATTTTCTTTGCTGGTTGAAACATAAGAATAGTTGCGATCCAATACTGAGACAGTTTCAGAAAGTTCTGGTAAGGAAATATTGGTTTTAGTGATTCTGATTAGCGGTTTGCCAAAATTCTCGTTAGCAATTGCTAATCCTCAAACCCCTTTAGTGTTTAACAAAAAAATAGAGATGCCTTTTTTAGAGAGAGTCGGATCTCTTGTTTGATCATCTCTAACAGTATAAGGTTGGTATTTTTCTATATCTTTGTTTAACTTGCTTAATTCTTCTTTTTCTTTTTTTTCACTTAATCCATAATTAAAATTAAAAAAAGGTTCTAATTTAAGGTTAATGTCAGCTTTTATAGCTAAGTCTTTAATTGAAATTGCCATGCAAAATAGAGTGGGGATTTAGGTGGGAAGACTATGCAGAATCTTCCTATATTACAATCACCCCTCTAATTCTCCTTTAAAAATCTTATTTTAAGGCACCGAGAAAGAGGGGTGAAGTCAAGTTTTTTACTAACCAAGCAAATAAAAATTTGATTTGTTGATTAGAGGGATAAGCTTAACAAACCCAAAGGATTATTTAAAATCCTCTTTTTTTAAATTACTAACTTCATTTTTAACCAATATTACTTCTTTATGATGCTTATTTTCTACAGCTGGATAGTAGGGAGAACAAATTGTCATAAGGGCATCAAAACAATTAAGTTTTTTTGTATCCTTATCAATAACTAAAGGACACTTAAAAAATCCTCCATCTCAATTATAGTGTAATTCTCCGACTTTGATTGGTTTTTTACACTTTTCATTTTCACAAATCTGACCATCAACTTTACTTTTGCATTCTAAATCATTTTCGCTGTGTCAATGTCCTCTTCCTCTATAATAAAACTCTCTATCCCCAATTGCTTCCCCGCAATTATTACATTCGCATTCAGTAGCATGATTAGTAGGACGATATTTATTTAGTTCATCATCAGTAGTTTCCCAGTATTTTCCCTCGGAAGAACAATCCATTTCTCTAACATAAGAAACTGTTCTAAAATTATCACAGGCTTCTATACATTTTTTCTTTTGACAAACCACATCATAAACTTCAACTCCATCATCCATCATTTCATAACCACTTATTTCTTTAATGTCTAAATCTTGATAACAAAAACGACAACTGCTTTTGAACTTTCCCTCTTCTAACCCTAAATATTTCTCAAGCGAACAATAATTTTCTGGTTTTTTTTTGATGGTTTCCTTTTCTCTCATTCAGCATTCAATACAAATAGGGATTTTTGGTTCCTCCTTATTAATAATAGCATAAGGAATATAAAATCCAGCCAAGGTTTTTCTTTTTACTTGGTGAGGAGAATTTTGAAGACATAATTCACACTCCAGTAATTCTGCTAATCTTTTTTTAATCTCTTGTTCCTTTTCATTGGTAGGACTAGAAATATTTTCTATCACACTCTTACAAATATTCGGATTATCATCTATCACTAAATCAAAATCAGAAGCATTTTCTTTTATTCAATCTGCTTTACTTTCTCCTTTTTTCTCACTTTCGAAAGGGATTAATTCTAAATAAATAAAGTTGCTTCTGAAAGATTTTCATTTAGGATCAAGATTAAGTCTATCGAAAGTTTCTTTGAATATTCTTTGTTTTCTATCATCACCATTAGTGAACTTCCTCTTATCATAAGCAGAAAGGAATATTAATTTCTCAACCTTATTTTCCTTAATCAATTTCAGCAAATCTTCTGCTATGGTTAGGAATGGTGCTTGTTGGTAGAAATCTGAGGCATTTTTGATTTCTTTTTGGTTTTCCAATACTTTTTTAGCAGAAAAAGAATTTCCAAATTCTAAACGAGAACCATAAGGAGAATATTTTACCTTAGTTTCTTTTCAAAAAACTTCAAAGAACTTGGAAGAAAATCCTTCATTACATAAAGCATAAGGCTCGCATGCTTGAATTACTTCATCTCAATCGCAAATAATTTTTAATTTCTTGGGTGTATTTTTGTAGTGGTCGTATAGACTTGTTATTTTTCTTTCTGACATTATTTTAAAGTACGCTGTTAGAACCTAACATTTACATTTTTTCCTGGTTGATTTGAAACGGTACTTTCTCAACAACTTCTACTAAATGACGTTTCTTCATCAACATTGCATCTTATACCATCTCAATCTTTCTGACCAATATTATGTCCTAATCTTCCTAATTCGGCAGGTTTTCCATCACTCGAATATCCAGTTATCGGTGTATCTTTATAAGCATAAGCAAATAATTTAGTTATTTTTGCTTTACATTTTCAACTAGAAGACATATTTAAGTGACTATGAACTTGATCAACCCTACCTAAACTTTTTCAATTATTCCCTTTCCCTCTTCATGTACGATCTGAATATAAACTATATTTTCCATATTCTTCATCTGCTTGCCAATTAAAGATAAAATCTGCTTCAAGCCCTGTATCTTTTGGTTGAAAAACACCTGCAGTAGCAAGATGTCCAAAAGTTTTAAAAGGAGCTCCAATAGTATCTACTCAATCCCTAGAACCAGCAGTAAAACTTGTCATAGCATTTGCCTTAACACTGTAAAGAATCTGTTCCACCTTAAAGATCGCTCGACTATCAGCTTTTACTTTATTGAGAAGTTTTATCATGTCATTTATCGTTTTAGATTCACTAGCACTTGCTTTTTTCAAGTCAATTAGTTTATCACTTGCTTCTTTTTCTGTTCTTCTTCTTTGATTTTCTTTTTCAGCATTATATCTATCAGTCATATTTCGTAGTTCTTCATCTTTATCTCTTTTCGCTTTTTCTGCACTATCTGTGTCTTTTTGACATCTTATTTTAGCTTCTTTTTCTGCTCTTAATTCACCTTCCAACCTTTCTTTATCTTCTCTTAGTCGCTCTGCTTTCGCTTGTCAAGTACTTTCGCTGCCTCCGGCTCCACCTCCTCGCAATAAAACTAATTCTTTTCGTAATTCATCTGATTCCTCATCTTTCCGTTTCAACTCTCTATTCAAACCATTAATTCTATCTTCCAAATTCGAAATGTCTCTGCCCGCTGTAGCAAGCCGAACCTCTTTTTGAGAAATTTCTCTTTTCAATTTTGTAATCTCAGTATTTTTATTTCTTACTTCTAACAACAATTCATCAATTCTTTCTCTATCGGTTTTCAAAGTATTCTCTAAATTGTCTATTCTGCAATTATCATCTTTAACCTCAATAATATAATCATTGATAACTTCGAGAGATTTATAATAATCTAATCATTTACCATTTAATCTCATATTATTAATAGCTAAGAATTTTTGTTTGGTTGCTACTTGATCATGTTTTCAAGCAAAAATCCCAATTTTTAATAAATCATCAACTTTTTGTTCTTCCTCATTTAATTCTAAGTCTTTTTTGTAATTATCAAAGTCTTCTTGCAGACCATCCAACTTTTCTTGTAATCTTCTCTCTCTTCTGTCTTTTTCGGCATTTCTAGCATCTTTCTGTTCTTTCAACTCTTGAATTTGTCGCTGTAATTCAATAATAATCTTTTCTTTTTCTAACAATTCTTCTTGTGGTTCAGTAAGTTTCAGTCGGTCAGCAACTGTTTGGAAAAATTCCCCTTCGGCATTTTCTCTTAATTTTCTTACTTCTTCTGTTTTTTTCTCCAGTTCAACTCCCAAAAGTTTAAATTCCTCTTCTTTTTTTTTTAACTCTCCTTCTAATTCAATTGCTTTCTTTTTATCTTCATCACTTAAAAAGTAATCTGATCTTACTAATTTGCTAAAGTCATCAACTACTTTTCCGAACTCAGCAATTGTTTCTTCTTTTCAAGGATACCAATTAATTTTATTTTTAAAAATATTCCTAATTATTGCCAAACCAACTTCTAATTTTCCAGTTTTAGATTCCTCTATCTTTCTATGAGCGATATCGCAAGTTAAAATTTCATCATCTCAAACATTGAAGTTTTCCGCAATGATTGCTTTTATCTCTTTGAGTAAATTTGCAGAGCGAGGATGAGAATCGAAGTCTCAATTTTTCTCATTACCATCGTTACCATCAGAATTAGAACCTCCCCCTTGTCCTTTTAATTTTCTGATTTCTCGGAATAAATTTTGATTAAGAAGTGGCATACACTCTATAAAATTAATTTTAGTAAAATCTTCTCTTCTCAAATCTTTGCAAGTGAACTACACCCACTTATAGAAGTTGGTGCTTCATATGGTTTAATTGGTAAAGACCAATCATGAGCCCATTTTACGAAGTTATATCCTCTCGGAGGACAATGTTCCTAACTCCG